AGGGTACACATCTAGGATCGTCATTTTGTTTAATAGATGATAGTTAATGTAGAAATGAATACTTTCATCAGGCTTCATCACAAGATGAAGTTTACATTCCCAAGGACTTTGCGACTTCTAAATAACACCCTTCTCTAACATCTTCTTAATGTTTGCACGTAAAATCTTAATCTCTTTGGGTGATTGATGACGAATAGGAACCTTGATTGAACGAGCATCCCCGGTTGGAATCGGATGATGTGTGGCAATCTTAGCCCCAGATGATAAGTCAAAGTCAAAGAGATCAAAATACTCTTTCATGAGCCGGTTAACCATTGCAACACAAAGATTGTCACAGGGATTGGAAAAAGGAAGAGCAAAACAAGACGGAAATATAAGAGGAAATAGTGGGGGGACAAAAGTAATAGAAGTAGAAGTAAAAGTAAAAGGACAAAGAGGTACGAAAGTGAGAGGAATAAATGAAACATAAGGAAGTATGAGACAAGGGGGAGAAGCCTCAAAATCACATTTAGCATGATTGCACTGCAACTAATTTATACCAAGGATGAAGTCAAAAGCTTGACTCGGCACCACCCGCAAAGACTGCAACTCAATCTCGAAATTGCCCATACGCACAACCACATTTGCCTCATCCCGTGCACATGCATGTGTACGCCATTGCTATAAAGAATGAAAACTGGTTTTGCCATACGATGCAAGTGTAAACAGCAACATGTGGCAACAGGTCAAGCAATAGAAGATAAATTCGAACCTGTATTAACCAATACAGAGAGAATAATAAGAGACCTTTTGTTATAAAAATGAGCTTGGAAAGTAAACATTGGATAAACTAGTGCTGAATGAACCCCTTGATGATACTCCTGAAAGAAAGATGAAGGGGTCACTGATTTATTCGCACAAAGTCCTTCTATTACTCATGCAACTCCTCATTTCCTGGATGCATCATGGTGTCTAGACCTTCCACTACAGTAGCACCAATAGGATGTTGTTGATGCTAAGGTCTTCACTTAGAAAATGGAGGTTGCCAATCCGGAAAACGCTAACAATGCCGATAAGTATGCCTAAATTCATCACATGCCCAACAACGAACGTCACGGCGACAACCACGTCCTCGCCCTTGTCCTTGGATTCGAGCAGCAGCAGCATCAACCTCCATTAGAACAGGACCATCGCCTACAAGAAGAGGAGCGGAAGGACGGGCAGCAAGAAGTGGAAGAGGTGACATCTCATAACGTTGTGCCAAGCAAAGAGCATCGTCAAGGGTGGTTAGAGCAAGTGCATGCACAAGTTTGACAAAATCTAGATGAAGTGCTAGCCACAACATTCCTAGCTTGATCCGCTCTGACATATTTGGCTCCACACGAAGCAAAAGACTTCAGAAACAAATGCTAAATTGCATCACTGACTCAGATGGCCCTTGGTGAAGAAGATGCAATTGTTGGAAGGCATCATCACAATCATCGACATGTCCAAATGCACGTTTGAAGACGTTCGGGAGAACACTTCAATCCCCACGAGTGGCTGCACTTAAACCATTGTACAACTGCAATGCCATCCCTTGGAGACACATGGGAAACTCACATAAATGTCAAGTATCATCCCAAGAATGATATGTGGCAATCACCATGAAGTGATTGAACCAATGGTACACATCATCCCCAGAATTCCCGTGAAAAAACTCCAGCCGAACGCAAGGATTGGCACCAAGAGTAGGAGGAGTTGTACCACGTGTTGTAAACGCTGCCATTAATTGAGTTTGGTTGTTCAATTGCAAGTGCATAGCATCAAGCAATTGTACCAATTGTTGTTCCAAAATCAAAGGAGGAGATTATTGATCTGCCATGAAAAGGAAAGAGCAAAAGAAGAGGAATGACAAAAGTTAAAAGGAAATGAAGATCTAGACAATGCAAAAAGCTAGATCTAAAACAAAATTCTGATAGGAAAGAAAAAAAAAAAGGAAATGGAAAAAGTTAAATCTAGATGATGTAAAAGCTAGATCTAAACCAAAATCTTAAATTCAAACACTCCTTAAGGATAATCAAAGGTGCCCTTCACGTCCACCAATGTGAGTGATTAGAATATAGAAAAGAAATATAAAAAATATGCATGTCAATTAGCCCAAAAACCTTAGCTTATATACAAGAGCAAGTGGTCTGGTGTAACGCACCTTATCTTTTTCCCTTTAAACCAATTGGAAATGGGGCAATTGCTTGATAAGAGAGCTCTTAGTGGCTATTTTATCCCCATTTATCCCCTAGAGTTCCAAGGATCCATGATGACAGTATATTTAAATCTCATCAAGTTCCAAGGATCCATGATGACAGTATATCTAAATCTCATCCCATGATCACATGCCCTACACTCACCCCATAGTGACAGTATATCTAAATCTTATCTCATGATCACATGCACTACACTCATAATGTCCTCATTGACTATTCCCCTACTGAGCCAAGGGGAACTAACACCTCCATTTCCGCACTCAATCTACCAATCCTTCCATTGTTCTATACTCACCCCCACTTCAGAGATGTCAATGTTCTCATTGACTATTGATTAATAACCCCTACTGCGCTAAAGGGAATCAACACTTCCATTTCCGCACTCAATCTACCAATCCTTCCATTGTGTAGACCAGTTATTTCATGTGACGCAACTAGTTATTCACCTGTACTGCAGTCCTATGGTGGATACCTTCATCCGTAAATACTCCACATAAGAGGAAGGACGTATGCATGGATGTCCAATACGTATGATTTCAAATTTAGGAGTAGAAATATACTTTGCTCAAGGGTATATTATATTTTTAAGTAGCCACTAATCAATGGGAATCGAACTCGTGCCATTTGAGTCCTATAGTGGATACCTTCATCCATAAATACTCCACATAAGAGGAAGGACGTATACATGGATGTCCAATACGTATGATTTCAAATTTAGGAGTAGAAATATACTTTGCTCAAGGGTATATTATATTTTTAAGTAGCCACTAATCAATGGGAATCGAACTCGTGCCATTTGCTTTGATACCAACTGTAACACACCTTATCTCTCTCCCCTTAAACCAATTGGAAAAAGGGGCAATTGTTTGATGAAAGAGCCTTTAGTGGCTATTTTATCCCCATTTATCCCCAAGGTTTCAAGGATCCACGGTGACAGTATATTCAAATCTCATTCCATGATCACATGCACTACATCCGGATTGAAATCAATCCGACGGCTACCAAAATCCCACTATATTAATATTAGTTAATATTAGTATACGGCATCGTAATCTTACACTTGGCCCTCACTATATATATATATATGTGTGTGTATGTGTGTGTGTGTATGTATTACCCTACATAGGTAATATGTTAATTATATTAAGTTTAGGATTAAATCTACTCCATTCATTCGTGTATATAAGGAGAAGTTTAAATACCTATTTCTAAATCTCAAGCATTCACATGAAAGTGAAGACCTTTGCAATGTATCTTTAGAGGGCAAGGTTGTTTTGGTAATGTTTTATATTCAGGATTATGCTTTCATTTTTATTCTTCATTCTGTTTTAGATCTAAATCTATATTAACTTTTTGCCAAATTTAAAATTGTAACTATCAGATTTGAATTTTTTTTAATCTCTATTACATTCTCTTCTTCTATAATGCCATACAATTATCGATTAAAGAGTATATCACTTTACATTACTCCATTGAATTGAGTTTTTGATGTTATAATGTATGATTATATTAGTGTTATGCCTATCCTTTGTGTATTATCATCTCTAACTCTCGTAAGACGTGATTATATAGCTTCTATTCTTAGTGTCTTGCCATCTCCTATTGATATGGGTATAATTGTGATATTGTGATTGTAGAGATATTAATGATCAGATAATGTTTACAAGCTTAAGTGGAATTATATTGATAAAGAATTCAAGATGAGTTGAAGATTTAGTGGGGTAGGTGTTAATTTTTCAATTTACCATTTGATTTTTTATATTTCTCTTTCTCAACTTTTTTTTTATTTCTTAGTTTAAGCCACTTTCTCATGTTCCTAATGCTTTTTTCTCATCTACAATATTTCCTTTTCCTAAGATATCAATAATTTGTGACTTTTATCATTCTCATTCTTAAATAAGCATTGAGTTAAGTGTTTTTGGTTTTTGTTATAGAAAATCTAGATGTTGAGTATATATATAAAGTTAAAAATCTTGCTTTTATTTTGTTAGTGGAGGCTTGAGGTGTGTGTTGAGGAAGTTCAGCAATATGAATTTGTTACTTATGTTATGGTGGTTAATATATTTTGTAACAAGAGGTCTTTTGTTTTCCATGTGTTTGAACACATTTTCTTCTTTTTATTTTTTAATTTTTAATTCAGTAATTTCTCTTATTTTCCTTGAGATTTCAAACTTTCTTTTTTCAAAAAAAGAGGTGGAGGAGTGATGAGAATGATGGAGTGAGGATTTATTGATAAAGCAAAAAGGAAAAACATGGATTGTAGATGAGTACAAGTATAGTGAGTACAAAGATACTAAGTTTGAATAAAACATCTAACACAAATCTAATGGTTAAACAAATGTGGTAATAGAATGAAGTTGAATATAAATAACAAAGTGAGGTTAAGTGTAATAAGTTTTTATGAAACTAGGTTTCAGATTTTTTTTCCTTCAAGGAAGGGATAAAGAAGATGTGAAAAGATAAATAAAGCAAATTTAACTTCCTATATGCAGTGTTGAATATTGACAAAAAAGAAGACCCAAAGATAAATTTTATTGATCAAGTTAATAATAATTTTAAATGATGGCTAATAAATAAATTTAGTGATGAAATATGTTATTTATTACAATAATGTTTTGTGGATTATAATGGTTTTCAAAGTGCCTTGCTTTAGTTCAAAATTTTAACTTTAAAATTAGTTCAAACATTAAGCAATTACATACAAAGTTGTAACTGCCAATGATGCTTAATTGAATGGTTGTCATCAATTATATTAGTGGCAATTTTATAATTTTAACAGGCTTATTATATAATTTATTAAGAATGAGTCAGGAACACAATAAGATTCTTTCAAAAGTAACTTCTTATCAAGCAGCTACTTGCTGTGAGATTCTAACATCAGCCGAGGAGCCCAGGTGAGACGGGATAACTTCTCTCTTTCACTGTGCTTTACCAGACTTCACATTGTTGAGTATTTGCTCCAGCCTGAATTTCATCACTGGCTGACCCTTGGAAGTTTTCTTAAACATCTTTGCCTTGGTCTGCTTCCTCAGCTTCTCCGAGTGCTCCCGAGCCTGCTGCCTCGCCACATTCTCCTTTGCTCTCTCTTCCTTGACAACTTCCACCTCCTCTTTCTTCCTTTCATATTCGCCTCTCAGCCTCTCCAGGGAACTGAAGCCCCGTTTTCTGTGCCTTCTTCCACCAATTTGGCTACGGCTGCCGCCAGCACCATCTTCATTCTGTGCCCTTGCGTGTGTTTGCTCTTCAGGTTTCTACAAGAAGCTCTCTCTCTCAGCAACATTTTCTGCACAAACTACAAAACTTACTTGAGGATCGAGCTCCTTCTTCAGCTTCTTATACTTCTGCACCTTCTTGGCGTTCTGATAGAACTCACGCTTCTTCTCTGCGCAGGGAAGAGCAAAAAGATTGATACTAAATGCGATCAAATGACTCACTGATTTCACATGGGTTGTAAGACGACCGGGATTTCACTGCCTCCTTGCTCGCTCCCTTGCCGCCTGGCTGCCGCTTCTTCATTTCTAACCCTAAAAAAGGTGGGTTTTTTTTTTCTCATTTACATCCAGCGCTCTTAAGCTGGAGTTTCTCATTCCATCCCAAAACGCTGTCAAAGGCCAGCCTCAGTTCCTCAAACGACTTGGAACCGTGCTGCTTCGAGGATCTCCAAGCGATGTGATCGTCTGGTCTAACGAGAATGACGATCCCAGGTTGAGACACTCCGCACAGCTCCCACCAGTTGCATTTGTCGGCTGCTACCACTTCGGTATAGGCACCGGCGTTTCTCTCCTTCCAGCTCCCAACGAAATCGGCCTCAGCGTCTCTAGCAGTCTGATCCGAAAGGACCACAACTCTTAGAGGAAATGGCGACGACTTTGATAGCTGCAGCGCGTCCTCGGCCCAGTTAAGACCACTCGCCGAGCACTCTACCAAAAACAGGAACTCGAGCCGGCTGGGATGGATCAAGTCTAAAGTCGACGAGATATCTTCCTGGAAACCAACACCACTGTGAGCGGGAGCATTGACAGAGAGAAGAATTCACTGCTTCGAATGCTTACGCTGCCAGGGGAACCGCCGTGCAAAACTTTGATCTTCATATGCGGCAAGCGCACTCCTGGCACGCTCAAAGGGACGTACTCTCGTTGCCTCTCCCGAGAGCTCTCCTCGACGTTATCCTCCGGTACAAGCGCTCCATTGGTATATCTGGAAAGAAGAAGCGGTGTACCTAGACAAAGAAATGAAAGGCATACCTGAAGAGAAGATCCTCGGCCGGGAACTGGAGCTGCAAGCTTTTACCCTGCTCCAGTATCTTTTTAACGTGAGAGATCCTTGCCTGGGCGACCGGATTGTATCTGTTGAGGAAGACCGACGCGACTTGGGCCCGGCCAACCGAGAAGATGCCGTCTAAAACCTGGGACTGCAAGCTCTTTGGTAGGATGGATCCAACAGTGCTATTGATCGTTTCGTGCACCATTCTAATGATGAAAAAACAAAAAAGAAAAAGTATGATAGCGTCAAGAAATTTGAGGCAAGCTACCTGGCATAAGATGGATCGAGTCCCAAAGCCGATGGAATGGACATGGCCGCTTTGAAGTTCTCAACACTTAGCGCAGTGTTGGCCTCTGCAATCTGGAAACAAAGAATAAAAATTAGAAATATAGAAAACAATGGATGTTTTCTTCTTAACTGGTCTTCTTTCCGTCTCGTATGTTTCGAGAAGCGTGGGTGGTGCCATGGAGTTGAGTACCGCGGCTAGCTTCCATGCTAGATTATGTGCGTCCTGTATTCCAGTGTTCATGCCTGGGATTTTTTGTGAGCATGGAGCCTTTGTGGAGCGAAAAGTGAAAGAATTACCGAAGCCACCGGCGGGAGGGAAGCGATGAGCAGCATCCCCTGCTAGAATTACTCGTCCTCCTTCACCGCACAAACACTTCTCCGCTACTTCCGCGTGCATGACCCACGGCTTGACACTCTTCACTTCCACGTCTATGTCCAAGCTCAAAAGCTGGCGGATGGTCTTTTGACATTCCTGTAGGATCGAGAATAAAAAATGAGCGAGCTTGCTGATTGTCTTACGCTTTCTGTAAAATCATCGGCGTTTTGCTGTGGAGGATAAAATGGCATCTGCTTAACATGAAGCGTTAGGTGCATCGAATGAAAGAAGAGAGCACACCTGAGCAACAAACTCCCCCAAGCGTAGATCATGCGCGACGATCACCGCTATCGCGCTTGGATTAAACACAAAGAAGAGCATTCCGGGCCTGTTGTCCACCAAGTACTTGCTGAGCTTCTCACTGATGAAGTGCACGCTTATGAGCTGCTGTAAGTTGTGCTGTCCTTGGAGTGTAACTCCCATAGATTTCCTTACGCCACTTCCAGCACCATCAGCGGCAACCAAGTACTGGCAAGTCACGATTTTCTCACTGGCAGTGGATCCGGTAGGACGTAGCGTTGCCACGACTTTGTCGAGAGAAGATCGGATGGAGTCACACTGGTAGCCCATAAAAATGCTGCTCTGGTTTGGTTGCAAGGAAATGGGATCCAAAGAAACACCCGATTTGGTTGCGTTCTCCACGAGGATTGGAAGAAGACGGTGCTGCGAAAAATGAGCTACATTTGTGGGACTTCGATTGCTCGTCAAGTCTAGAAAAAAGAAAACAATGAGAAAGAAACCATCAAGTCACACAAAGAAAAAAGCAAAGAAATAATGCTTGCCTTTGGGATGGATGTGATCCACAACACCGAGAACTAGACCATCAAGAGCAGTGCAATATGTAAAACGTCGCCAGTGGTCCAGTGGAGGTTGAAGAGCCTCGATTTTCGATCCCAGTCCGTCAAGCCTCCTGAAAATCTAGTGAAGAAGAAAAGAAAAGAGGAAAGTGTGGAGTTAACTTACCTCCATTGTCCTGTTATTTATGAAATGCGCCTGGGGATGATCCGGGAGCTTGCATCTCTTCTCGACGAGCAAAGACTGCACGCCTGTGCCCACCCAGCGACTCAAGTAAATCCAAATGGGGAATTGAGGAATCACGGTACCTAGTTTGCTTAGCAGGATTGAGAGCGTTATTCCGACAGGGCCTCCTCCCACAATCACAACTGGAATTTCGCTGGGAATCGCGTCCACAGAAGGAATTGTCGAGAAGATCCGGCTGCACACTGCAAGATCGCGCGCCCGGCGCATTTTCCCCGTTACTCGCATTGCAAAGCCCTAAACCCTAAGCCAACTCGCAACGAATATTCCGTCAAGTGATTAGCCCTAACGTAAAGCGCATATTCTGTGATCCTAGGATCGTCGTTCTTCGTGAAAACCGCAGGGAGGGAAGAGCCATGGCGCCCAAGGCCGCTCCAACGCCGCCCCCGCCGCCAGCCTCGGAGCCAGCGGCTGTAGGTATTTCACTGCCGAAGCTATCGATCCTGACGAAATGCAGGCTGGGAATCGATGCTGACAAGCACCCTGTTGTTCTTGCTTGCCAGAGGCGGCCGAGGCGCCGCCGCCGGAGCCGACATTCACAGGCACCTGGTTCGATGATCCGGTTGAGGTGCGTTTCTCTTTCACTCGATCCATCCTTTCGGGAAGAAATCGTTCCTTTCATTCTGGTTGTCAGGGAGAAGCTGCTCAACAGGCAGCATTGGAATTGAAAAACAGGATAGAGATCAGAGCCCTGTCCGTGCGGCAATTCCTGGTAAGCTCTTTGTCTTCCTCTTCGTGTTTCGTTTGGAGAATTTACCTTGTTTTCGATCTCTCATAGGAAAAAACGGTGGTACCTCTCCTATTGCAAGGCATGCACCACCTTGTTCTTGAAAGGTACGTGGTTTTGACTCCTCGTCTTCCTATAAGCAGTGCACAGTGAAGGGAGGTCTTAGCAGTCTAGCCAGTCTTTGTTTCTCGTCGGTTTTCTCTTGTTTTGCTTCCCATTGCATTTGTCTCTGTCCAGGCCGTCGAATCCAGTCGAGTATTTAGCTGCTTTCTTGCTTAAAAACAATCCACAGGGGCCCGAGCCTCCGTTGCCCGAAGAGCTGCCTAAGGAATCTGCCGCTGGCGCTACTCCTACGGAAGCTCCTCCGGAAGCTCCTGCTGCTCCAAGCTAGACAAATTCTAGTTTATGCTCGTCCTGATCTTCTAGTTATCCTGCTTCAGTTTTGTATGCATGCGGTGCTAGATACTTCAAACAGACTGAGTGACCGTTTTGATCCTTCGCGTTCTGTATGATTGGATCTTAGAATGCATGAGAAGTTGCGAAAAGAAGAAACATGAGAAGGTGCGGTAAAAAGATTTTCTACTTCCTGCTGTGTGGAGCTGCCAGTTTTACTGGCTGACAAACACGCAGCAGCATCTTTGGAAGTGACTACTGCCTGGAACTGACATGAGCGATCAGTTGCTAAACTTTTTGTGCTTCGGGATGCTCCACCTGTTGCCATGAAGTTGAGTCCTCTGGCAAGGTTTCCTCTTGATTTTCAGATGCTTCTCTATCTGTTGGAGGGTCATTGATTTCGTGCTCCTCCGTGTGAGTTTGATTTTCTGCTCGCTGAGCATCATTTTCTGCTGCTTTTGGAGCATCATCACCATCATTGTTGAAGCTCGAGTCGTCCATGTCTATGAGTGACCCGTCGCTCGCGAAAATCCCCTCATAGGATACAAAGGAGAGCGATCTTAAGGTGCGCTCTAATTGATGGACTCGTTTCTCGTGTTCGGTTTTAACGATTGGACTGTCAAGACATTCTTCCTCAGGCAATTCTTCGGTATTGCTCTCTGCGATTTTCAACTTAGATTCACACCAGACTCTCGCACTCTCCTGAAGGCATCTAATCCGTCCCAGCCAGGACTTATCGTCCTTCTGAGGCGGTGTGTGCTCGCCGTCCTGGAAGCTCGGCCCGAGCGTTACAAGCGCAGCCACGCAGAGAGCGGTGGAGAGAAAGAGGGGAACAAAGTAGACAAGGACTTGGAAAAAAATCGGAAGTACAAAGAGGAGCAGCAGGCCAGAAGAGATGAGTGGATGCTTCAGAGGCGCATTGAGGATGTTAGAAACTTGGACAGCCATGTCCTGGGTGAAGCTTGCGAATCCTTAAGCGCTCGCAAACTTACCTCGGAAAAAGTCAACACTCTCGCTTCGAGATCGAGATCTAGATCTTCCCGGTAAGCCGTAGCCGTTGCTGCGTCGCGAGTTTCTTTTCTAAATCGTGAATCTCATGATCTTACCATGCAGGAGTCAGGACTCGATGAAGAACAAGGAAACAAGGAAAGAGAGATCTCTCCAAGGAAAACTGTGCAGCCAACGAACGAGAGAAGACGAGTAGCTCTGGACTTTGAGGTCTGCTCCAGCTTAAAAAGGCTGCTGGGACGTAAAGATAAGCTCTTCACTGGACCCACGACCGGCCTTATGTTTGTTTATTCTTTTTTACAGGCCTCGGGAAAAGCTGGCCAGGCAAATGGGCTTTCGAGCAGAAGAAGACACATGAACAATGCAGGGATCGCAGTATGGTCGTTTCAGGCTCTTTGGGTGCTCGTACCATCGACACCATGTGATGGAAGAATACGATTCCAGTGAAGGTAAAAAAAAAAAGAAAAAGCTTTTTATTTTCTGGTAAGATTTCGTTTTTCGCGTTGGCAATTCGTTTCATAGTGATGTTCTTACGTGTTCTTTGTTTTTGTTTGTAGGATGGAAGACGGGGGGAGAGGACGTAGGACCGTTTTGATCGTGAATTATTTGGCCGCGTGGATGGATGGCTTCCTTTTTCTTCGAGCTTGTTCGGCTCTAAGGTTAGCTATCAATCAGAGGGACCCAAAGGCTGCCTGATTTCAAAAGGTATGGTGTCTTTTGCTTGGATTTGTGGCCTGTTCATAGATTGAGATTGTCCAGAGGGGGCTTTCTCGATCGATCGAAGTGGCGCGAGAGTGACTGACTTTAAAATAAATGGATGGTCTTGCGGGAATCGGAGGAGTGGCGCTAGCATCTGGAAATGAGTTTGTTTTGGGAATCCTCGTAGCCATGAATGCACGGAAAGAGCTAGAGCTTTGTCTTAACTTAATTAATCAGGTTAAATCTAAATTAGTTTTCTTGCCGTTAACTAATACTAGGGCTTAGGGTTTTGGTGAGTGGCTATGGCGGCCAGCGAGAAGAAGAAGAAGAGGCGGAAGGGGCCGTCGCTCAATGACACTGGGCTCAAGGACAGCGATCTCCAGGAGGCTGAACGGCTGCACGGATTGCTGTTTGGAGCGCTCGAGAATGCGGCAGAGGGTCTGGGCAAGGAGAACGAGGTAGGCGATGGATTTCGGAGGGATGTGCTAGGGATCGATGCCGGGGAGGAGCCGGCCGCGGAAGAATGTGAGAGGAAGCCGGCATGGATCGACGAGGAAGATAGCGAAATCCAGGTGAAAGAGGGCAAGGCTGTGTCGGCGGCGGAGTATGTTGCTGGGTTGAGGGCACAGCACGCGAAGCTCAATCCGGGGACCGACTGGGCAGCGCTTCCATCGGAGAAGAAGAAGAGAAAGAATTTTGATTCGGAGCTTGATTCCGATGTGGAGGAGGACGAGGACGAAGATCACACGAGAATTCTTCGAGAAAACGATGAGCTAGTCGTGAAGAGCAAGGTCCGGTTGCCGCAGGGATTGATCGAAGTGTCGAGGCTCAAGGATGGAAATGCCGATGAGCCTTCCAGCGCAGTGGTGAGGTCCGTGGAGTTCCACAGGAATGGCCAGATTTTGATGACGGCCGGGTTTGACAAGAGGCTGCGCTTCTTCCAGATCGATGGCAAGAAGAATCCCAAGATCCAGAGCGTCTTCCTGGACAACTTCCCCGTCCACAAGGCGAGCTTCGTGCCCGACGGATCCAAAGTCGTGGCTTCCTCGCGGAGGAAGATGTACGTCTTGTATGATCTTGCTCACGCCAAGGTGGAGAAGGTGATGCCTCCGGTCGGGAGAGACGAGCAAAGCCTGGAGAGCTTCGAGGTCTCTCCGGATAGCAAGGTGGTGGCTTTCATCGGGAACGAGGGGTACATCCTTTTGAGCTCGCTTGGAACGAAGCAGCTCATTGGAACGCTGAAGATGAATGGCTCCGTGCGATCGCTGGCGTTTGCGAACGATGGTCGCCAGCTTCTCAGCTGTGGCGGCGACGGGGAAGTCTACTGCTGGGACTTGAGCACCAGGAGGTGCTTGTACAAGATCAGGGACGATGGCTGTGTCAACAACACGGCGCTGTGCGTGTCCCCGGCAGCAAACGAGTACTTCTCCACGGGATCTTCCAGCGGGGTTGTCAACGTCTACAAGTACCAGGGACTCGCGAGCGGTGGTGCCGCCGCCAGGCCCGTCAAGACGCTGATGAACTTGACGACGGCGGCGGACACCTTGAAGTTCAACCACGACGGCCAGATCCTCGCGATGTGCTCGAGAATGAAGAAGGACGCGGTGAGGCTCGTTCACGTCCCTTCCTTCACGGTCTTCTCCAACTGGCCGACGCCGAAGACGGGCTTGCAGTACGTGCACTCGCTCGACTTTAGCCCCGGGAGCGGATATCTAGCAGCAGGAAACGCCGCGGGGAAGGTTTTGCTCTTCAGGCTTCGTCACTACGAGCACGCGTGACTACACAGGTCTTTTCTTCTATCTTTGGCGGTTTGCTTCCATGCTTACATGACTCTCCTCTTGGGTCGCTTTGCAACTTCCAGGTTGCTATGGCGGAATGCGCTCGCACAGGTCTCTCTTAGTAAAATTCCAGTTTTGCTCCGCCAACTTTTGCTCTTGTTAGCAGAGGGGATTGGCGCTGATGTAATGACAAGTGCAAGATTAATCCAGATCCGGGAATTTTTTTTATAGTAAGCAGTCTCAAGCTCACGGGCTGGATCAGTACAGCAGACAGGCAGCAGGCTTAAAAGGACTCTCCACCACCCGAGTTGCCAGTAGTGGATTTTCAACTCTTCCTTCGACGAAGATGGCTCAGCTGAGTTCCGGTATCTCTCTTGGGCTTGCAGTTGTGCTGCTGTCGCTGGTCTCGTCTTTGCAAGCTCCTTCTGCTCGACTGGATCATCGGAACTCTGCCTTCGGTTCTATCACCAGGCGGACACTGCTGGAATGCCGGGATCCAAATCCGTATCTCAACTTCACGCTTGACACCGCAGGGCCGCTTGCGAATGTTCAAACAGTGGTGGCGACCGTGAGTGGTGTTCTTCAGCCGAGTGCCAGCGATTGGATTGGAGTATTCTCGTCCGCAACTCACAAGTAAGTGGACCTCAGTTTGCGTTCTTTCTTTGCTTTCTTTGGTTTTTATCTTGTTTTTTGTTTTGTACCTCTTTGGTGTAGTGCGAGTTGATAGAAAATGACTCGTACTAGCAACCCGTGTTTTTCCAGGAACTCTTTTACAGGTCTTGTCCTTTTATTTTTGGATCTTGGCTCTGTTTTGCTGTCAAAATTCGCGTGGATTGAGTGAGCTAATCAACTGAAAGTTCTCTTTTTTCTTTTTTGGCAGCTACTCTGATTGCCCCGCCAAGGCAGTCTTATATTCTCAAACAGGTGATATAGCCAGCTTGCCTTTGCTGTGTGACTATCCTCTAAAGGTGAGATTTTGTAATTTCTTTTCTCTTTCTTTTCTTAAGACTTTCGATTTTGCAGTTCAAATTCTTGTCTAGTGATCCTGGATACTTGATCTGCTCAAACAAGACTTGTGCTGGCAAGCAGTGTGCCGTGAAGACGTGCTCTGGATCTGTATCTTTCCGTCTTATCAACATAAGGACCGACGTCACCTTTGTGCTCTTCAGTGGGGGCCTTGCAGTCCCCTGCATTCTCAAGGTGTCGCAGACTCTACCCTTTGCAGCGCCAAATTTTCCACTGTATGGCCATCTTTCTCTGGAGGATTCCTCGGGCACATCTGTAAGTTTTCAAAGATTGGATGCGTTGTTGATATAACCTTTTTTTGTTTTTACTGCTAGATGGTATTGGCGTGGGTCAGCAGGTCCTTCGATATCCACTACGTGGAGTTTGATCACGGTCGGAAATCCATGGATGAAGTGACAAGTTTTCAAATAGGAGATTTGTGTGGTATGATGTCGATTTCTATTTTTCTCTTGGCTTCCTTTTATATTTTGATTTTCTTTTTCCGCTGTAGATGCTGTCCCGGGACCAGCTAAGGACTTCGGTTGGCACGATCCTGGTTTCATACACATTGCACGAATGCAAAATCTTAGGCCTGGTACAAGATACTCGTATCGGTATGGAAGGTAAGGAAGCTTCTTTTTATATTTAATTTTTAGCCATTTATTTGCAGCGATAATTCTGGCTGGTCCAACTTGAAAATGTTCACTACTCCTCCGGCTGGAGGAGCATACGGTACGAAGTTTCTAATCTTTGGAGACATGGGAAAGGCCGAACGAGATGGCAGCTTGGAGCATTACATTCAAGTAAGTTAAATCTCCAAAAGTCTTACATCTTTGCGCTCCCGATTTTTTTATTTTCTTGCAGCCTGGAGCACTGCAAGTTATTGATGCCATGGCAAATGAAACCGTAGATGCGATTTTCCACATTGGAGACTTGAGCTATGCTACCGGATTCCTTGCGGAATGGGACCATTTCCTGGAGATGATCGAGCCAGTAGCATCGAAGACTGCCTACATGACAGCAATTGGAAACCACGAGAGGTACTAATAAAGGTTTACGAAAACTTATAGATTGACTTGTGTGGGTTTTCAGAGATTATCCAGGCTCGGGATCCATGTATAGCACTCCAGACTCGGGTGGCGAGTGTGGGGTCCCATATCGATCTTACTTCCGGATGCCTGTCCAAGACATCGACAAGCCGTGGTACTCAATCGCCATCGGTCCCGTGCATTTCACAGTCATCTCCACAGAACACGACTGGAGCTCGACCAGCGAACAAGTATGCATTCTTATTCGTTTTCATGTTTACTCCAAGGAAACCTTCTTCTACAGTACGCTTGGATGAAATCCGACCTTGAATCTGTCGACAGATTCAGTACACCATGGATAGTTTTCACAGGGTAACTGTTTTTATCCACATTTTCATTCTGTAAACCCATGTGTGCTATTTTCCTTTCAGTCATCGACCTATGTACTCCACTCAACTGCCGGGAATTATTTCTAAACTTCTACCAGGTGTGGATCCGAAATTTGTAGCAGCTGTGGAACCATTGCTCTTGAGAAACAAGGTAAAACACGAGCTCTTCAAAGGAAAAACTATAATGAAACTGTCTTTTTATTTTTTTTGCACAGGTTGATTTAGCAGTGTGGGGACATGTTCACAACTACGAGCGAACTTGTGCTGTGTTTCAGGGCCGCTGCCTGCAGCATCCGATCAAGGATTTAGCGGGCGTTGATTTCTTTGACACTACAATTTACTCGGCTCCAGTTCACGCCGTGGTTGGTATGGCCGGATTCAGCCTGGATGACTTCCCTCGTAATGTAAGCTTGCAGCTTTGTTTCCTATTATTTATTTCTGTTCAAGCTCTTTACATGGTATTGATATTCTACCTTTTCTATATTTTTTGTCGACAGTTTAGTTCATGGAGCTTGATTCGAAGGTCGGCATTTGGATATGCAAGAGTGACAGCCGATAAGAAAAAGCTACTCTTTGAGGTAGATGAATTGCATTCTTGGTTCTTGCATGTTACTTTTGTATTTTTCATTCCAGTACATTACAACGGACGGAACAGTAGCTGACCGGTTTAAAATTGCCAAGCTAAACTGGGGATTTTCCAGGCCGTGAACGATTTCAAGCCTTACCAAGTTCAATCCAGTTGGCTTTTAGAGCTTGCTGATTTGCTTGACGCTGCCAAGAGCTCTTGCTTTGCTGCGCAGCACCTGTTTCTGGATCTTGCCAGTCGCGGTTTTGTCCAAGGCCGCGAGAATGACGACGCTCTTTGGCACCATGAACTTTGGCAAATGCTGTCGACAGAACGAGAGTATCTCCTCCTCGTTGCTCCTCACGCCGTACTTGAGAGACACAAACGCGCATGGAGACTCGCCCCACTTCTCGTCTGGCCGCGCCACCACAGCAGCTTCTAGCACTGCTGGATGCCTGGAAGAAAAAACGAAATGAGAAACAAGCAAGAAATAACTCTTCTTTTACCTGTACAAGATGCTCTCCACTTCCAGGCTGCTAATGTTCTCACCTCCAGAAATGATAATATCCTTGGCTCGATCCTTGATCTCGATGTATCCATCGGGATGCCAAACTGCCAGGTCCCCGGAGTGGAACCATCCTCCTCTAAAGCTCTCCAGCGTCGCCTCTGGATTGTTCAAGTAGCCCTTGAACACCATGTTCCCGCGCATGCAAACTTCGCCAATGGTGACACCGTCCTTGGCAACCGGTTCCAGAGTTTCCGAGTTGAGCACCTGTAAGCCGTCGAGGCCGACGTATTTCACGCCCTGCCGAGCCTTTAGCCTGGCCTGCTCATCGGGCGAAAGGTTGTCCCATTCGGGATTCCACTCGCACACAGTGCATGGACCATATGTTTCCGTGAGCCCGTAGACGTGAGTCACATGAAACCCGAGAGCTTCGATTTTAGCCAGGACTGTTGCCGGAGGAGCCGCACCCGCGGTCATTATCCTGACTTGCCTGTGTTGGAGCCGCGAGAACGTTGAGCCCGTTGCCGCACTTATGATCGTGTTGAGCACCGTGGGAGCAGCGCAAAAGTTGGTCACGTTGTGCTCGGCAATGGCGGCAAAGATTCCTTTGGCCGTCACCTGTGGACACGAGGAACTTTACTGATATACGAGCGTAAATGAAGAGAAACGAGGAAAAGCAAACCTGGCGAAGACATATGTTGGTCCCGGCCAGAGCTGCCACTGCCCAAGGAAAGCACCACCCGTTGCAATGGAAGAGCGGGAGAGTCCAGAGATAGATGCAACCGTGCTTCATCTCCCAAGTCACGCACTCGCTTAGAGCCGAGAGATAGGCTCCACGGTGTGTAAGCATGACGCCTTTCGGGCTAGCAGTAGTTCCTGACGTGTAGGACACGGAGATAGTCTCGGTCTCATCCTCTGGCCTGGTCCACTCGAAACTTGGATCCCCTTCCCGGAGAAAATCTTCGTAGTCGCTGCTGCCGGGAGGCCACGAATTCTCCATGCCTTGGAAAAACTCGTCTCTTATCACCACCACGAAGGGAGCTTGGAACAAGGTCCCTGCTTTCGCTGTCCAGTCACGTAAAGCACCGCTAATCAGGTGGAGAAACTCCTCGTCAACAAGAACAGCTTTCACGCCGGAGTAATGGAAGAGCGTCGCGACGGTGCGCTGGTCTAGGCGGATGTTGACGCAATTGAGCACGGCCGAGGCCATGGGAACTCCAAACTGGACCTCGTACATGGCAGGAACATTGGGAGCCACCACAGCAACCTTGCAAAACAAGAAAAAACTTTTCCATCAGTCCTCACTAGAAACAAACAAGCCATGGATCGTGCAAATCAACGCACGGATTTTGCAAAACAAGAAAAACGATCCATCAGCCTTCTGCTTCCTATAGAAAAAAACCACCCTCAATCTAGAAACAAACAAGCCATGGATCTTGCAAAACAAGAAAAACTTCTTCTCCTTCCAAACAAGCCAACCAATTTCTTGGAATCTATGATTTGCCTATCACGTCACGGGAACAAGGAGAGGCACTTACAACATCGCCAGGGCCAATGCCTCGTCTTCGCAGTGCCGATGCCAGCCTCCTGCAGCGCTGGAGCTCCTGAGACCAGGTAAACCGCCGAGAATTGTAGATCACGGCCGGACGCTGGGGATGGATTTGAGCCGCGCGCTCCAGGAACACAAGCGGGCTAAGCGGCGCGTAATTCGCCTCTCCCAGATCCATGGCTCGCTGCGATGCTGCTGGTGGAATCCTCACTCACATCGCGAATCGATCGTTGACCGCCTGGAAACCATAAACCCTATTCCAAAAGGGCAAAGACAAATAAAACCAGCCGCTATTCGTTCTAGGGTTCCTCCGTAGTCGTTGAGAGTACTAAGGTTTTCTGTGCCGGAGAGGAGAAATCGAAGGAGGGAGAGGGATTGATCGCTACTGCTGCTAAGAGCACGAGGGATTGACGCACTAGGGCGTGGCGATTAGCGCAGAGAGATGAGCGGCGCTCGAGGATCGTCATCGTCGGCGACGCCGGCAGCGGCGGCCGCGGCTCCAGCGGCGGCCATCCCAGCCAGCGCGCGCAAGGTCGTCCAGAACCTCAAAGAAGTGGTCGGGGTAGGGCACGGCGAGGAGGAGATTTTCGCGACGCTCAAGGAGTGTAACATGGACCCTAACGAGACGGCTCAGCGGCTCATGAGCCAAGGTAAAGCATCCAGTGCCTCTCTAGCTCAAAACATTCTCTCATATCCTTCCTTCGCGCAGATACCTTCCACGAAGTGAAACGCAAGAGGGACAAGAAGAAAGAGGTGTGTTCTCGTCTCTCTTTTGGGTATCTGCATTGTCTCACGCCCTCTCGCAGGCTCCTGCCGGCAGCAAAGACTTGGGCGATGGTAGATCGAGAGGCACGACAGCTTACAGGGGCGGGAGAGGATCTGGAAGACTCACGCGCCACTCTCAAAACGGTAGTCCTCTCTCGGTTCTTGGAACGAAAGCTGATGTCTGCGTGTGTGTTTCCAGAGTCGAATGGTCGTGGCAAGGCTCTGCCTTCCAAGGAAAATGGAAACCATGCGCCTGTTCCTTCGGCTCCACAGTCTGGGTGAGTTCTAGAGAAAAACTCTCTTCCTCCTCTAGCGGCATGGCGTTAAATCTCGAGTTACAGGAGCGCAGCTACTCCTGTACTTCCGAATGGATCCGTGCAGTACTCCTCGTCAACGGGACTGGTCACGCATGGGTCGTGGAGTAAAATCTCTGGTCACGCGACAATGGCCGAGATGCTAAAGTCCAGCACCAGCAACGGGCCACACCTCCCACCTAATATGTTAACAGCGGGTACCGGACAGCAGTTCTCGTCTTCCGGAATGTACTCGTCCAGTGATCCTGTGCATCATCCTTTTCCTGACCAACGGGTTATCAGGCGTGAGAAGCCTATAGGCGACAGGTCGGCGGCATCGGTTCCAGGCGGTGGATTGCCTTCGCCGCCTCACCTGCAAGATGATCGGTCCGGTAGTCCTCCTGGACTCCAAGAGACGAACAAGTTTCCAGATACAGGAGCTCGGGAGACTTCTGGATATCGATCGGCAGCACTTGGAAATGGAAGGCCTGCGTATCAGCAACAACAGTCTGTAAATAAAAGTAAGCTTCTCCTTTGCTCTTGGTTTTTGTTTCAGAGCGCTGATCTCGGTTATAACAGCTACTGGACCCAACATGGAGTGGAAGCCAAAAGTAGGGGCTCAAGAAGCTGTCACGGCGTCTGGACTAAACTCTCTGGAGAGGGTTCTGACAGAGGCCCCAGCTTCGGATATCTCTGAGGCTGAGGTGTTGTCTGTTGCAGCGAAGTTCCAAAATCTTTCGGCCCGTGATGAGCAGCAAGTAATAATGCCTAACAACTTTCAGTCTCAGGGAGATTTGGGCCTTAGTTTTGGTAGCTTTGGTGAGCCCCTTGGTTCTTCTCTTCCTTCTGGTTTCAGTTCGGAGGATGGTCTCGACATCTCTGGCTCTTCTGAAGCGTCCGTGGCCAAGGATATCCTGCGTGAGCAGTCACCTTCTGGGTAAGAAACTCGTCGCTGTTTCCTTCTATCTTTATGTCTACTGATGGTTTTCGTGCAGAGTGGATGCCGTGGCTCCTGATGAAACCCCTTTGCATCAGGATGATGACATACCTGTTCAAAGAGAGAACGCGACTTCAGCTAGTATTCCTGCCACCTATACACAGGTCGACGTCACGAAATTGCGGTCGACTCAACAAGCTCCACAATACCCGTATCTGCCGTCGGCACCAAACTACACTACAAGTATTGGGATGGTTTCTCAGGTTCCCAGTGGCCAACACAGTTTTGACTCGCAAGTCCCTCATCTTCAAGACATGTCCAGTGTTCCAACTTCACTGGTGAGTCGCATCAATTGATATTTTCTGGTCTTGACTTTTTATTTTTACAGAAGCAGCAATACGCGGATTCTGCTACGAGTTTTTACTCGCCATCTCTTCGGCCTGGTTCTGACGCTGACGCCCGTTATGCGCAATACAGTTCTGCCGCGAAGTACAATGGAGGAGTAGTGATGTCTGCTCAACACCTTCCAGCTCACGAGGTACTATACCGCAGTTTGCTATGATTGATTCCTTATGTTTAATCGTTTGTTTTCAGGCATCCAATTCCACTGCCTTGTCAACCAGTAGCACAGTGTCTCAAGTGCCACAGGCAAGTGCGCCTACAGCTCCTCAGCAACCGCTTCAAGTTCACGCTTACCCGGCTCAGCCAACCGGTATGCCAGTGGGTCACTATGGCAACGTTTTCGGATACCAGTACCCGAGCTACACCTTCGTGCCTTCGCCATATCAGCACAGCTACGCAGCTAATTATCCACAGCCCCCAGTCAGCAGTTACTCACCATCAGCTAATTACGCCCCCGCCATGAAGTACACGCTACCTCAATACAAGCCAGGGAGTGCCACAGCCAATGCTCCCACTGGAGGCTACGGCGGATACGGCACTGCGTCGTCAATGTACGCGGCAAATCCGACGGCAACGGCCTCAAACACGCCCGGGTACGAGGATGGCAGCGCTGCTCAATACAAGGACAGCAACCTTTACGTCCCCGGTCCACAGGTGCCGAGTGTTTCCATTCGTTTTCATTCATGTAGAGATGGTTTTTTTCTCGACAGGGAGACGGTGCAAGGCTGTGGCAACTGACAAACGACATAGCGGCGGCACAACAGACGAGCTCGTTCTACGCCTTGTCCAGCCAAAACCAGCACACGTACACGCAACCGAGCAGCCACACGCATCCGATAAACGGCTACACGAGCTTGTACCACCAGCCGGGGCCTGCCGGGAGCGCTCACCAGGTGATCCAACAGCCTCAACCTTTGGGCGGTGCTGCCGGGAGCACCCAAGTTGGAGCCACTAATTATCACCAACAGCTACAACGGATCCAGCAGCAGCAGCAGCAACAGCAGCAACAGCAGCAGCAGCAGCAGCAGCAGCAGCCGAGCTGGAACTACTGATCCTGGCGAACGATGCAAGGCTTTTTTTTTTGTTCTTGGAGATCGATCGGCCGAAGATGTAGAGGTTTTCTCTTTACCACTGCTACTGAATCAAACTAACCATTGTACTGTTTTCCTTGAAACTTGTAGGAAGTTTGTGGGAGCTCGCGCTTTTCTATCTTTTGCTTTGTTTCAGCCTAAAGAAATCGAAGAGATGTATATATGGTTTTCACAAAATATATCAATACTTTACGTTACATACTTTGGAAATTTCACATGGTTTGGACCTTATATAAATTTCGTGCTCGCACACACGCGAAAGATTCTCTCGGCCCAACCGAGAAGCTGACAAGGTGTTAATGTTTAATTGTGTGTTCTTTGGCGGGCATATTCCACCACTACCGCCGCCCGCCGCTCATATATATATCTTGCTGTCCTCAGTACCTGGTTTACTTTTCCCTCTTCTGGTTAGGGTTTGAGCGCCTAGGGTTATCGCCCCATTTCTGTTCTTGGGGAGAGAGCAGGGCTTGGCGGCGGGCATCCTTGTCATAATCGCGCGCCTCGCAGCTCCCGCAGCGATCTAGCGCCGAATTCCAGGTGAAATCTCGCTTCTTTGTCTCTTCTTTCCGCTGCGGGCGAGCTTGAAATGTGTGCGGATTTCTTGGATTTCCAGGCAATGGCGGTGGCGCACGCACAAATGGTAAGCTCGCTGCTGCGGTGGGAGATTGTGTGTTTTCTCACGCGAGAATGTAGGTCGGGAACTCGTTCATCAACCAATATTACAATGTGCTCCACCAATCGCCACAGGTGGTGCATCGGTTTTACACCAATGCGAGCTGCCTCACTCGAGCAGAAGCCGGTCCAGAGGGCCAAGCGGACACTGTCTTCTCACAAAGTGTACGATTCTTTCTCGTTTCTCTGGCTCTAGCTGAGGATTGAGTGGTTTTTCTTTTTCCTTTTTTTTTTGTTTTTGTTCTTGTTCTCAGGGGATTCATGAGAAGGTGATGTCTCTAGACTACGTCGGGCTCAGAGCTGAGATTAAGACTGTGGACTGTCAAGATTCGTATTCTGGCTCGGTTCTTGTGATGGTCACTGGATCGCTGTCAAACCGCTCCAATGGAAGGCGCGACTTTGTCCAGACCTTTTTCTTGGCACCACAGGAGAAGGGCTATTTCGTACTGAACGACATTTTCCGGTATTTGGACGAGCCGCAGGTTTCGACCATGTCATACGTTGTGGCGAATGGTCCTCAAGAGCATTCTCCGACTCCAGAGTCTGGTAAGTTTGTCTTCTGTTTTTCGATTTGTGTGCCTTCGTTAAGCTGTTTCGTGCTCTGTGTAGTTCCGGATACTACTCATTTGGAAGTGAGTGAGGCTACGCCTGTTGCTACTGAAGAGCAAATAGACGAGGGATACGATATACCAGATGCAGACGAAGAGGTTTTGGTGGAGGAGACTGTCCAGAATGCCGTATCTTTGGATGCTGACGAAGTTCTGGACATCGAGGATTCACAATCGCAACCAGACGAGCCAAAGAAATCGTACGCATCAATCGTAAGTTGATACTTACAAAGCTTCTCTTGAATGTAATGGGCGTAAGTGGCAATGCTGCAGTTGAGGGTTGTCAAAGCCGGAGGCGGTGACAGTGTCCAGCATGTTCTTCAACACGTCCCGAAGCCTCCGCCGTCAATTCCCGCTGAAAAACCTGCGTTACCTGTGCCTCAAACAGTGGTGCAAGAAAGTTCAGTGGTATCTCCGCCGATCGAAACAACCGATGAGACTGCTGCAGCTCCCGACACACAAGGTATGATCAGTGAATACCATGCGGCTAGTGGTAACCATCGTCTTGTTGATCAGGTGATGGAAAATCGATTTACATCAAGAACCTCCCAATGTCCGTCACCACTCCGCAACTTGAGGAGGAGTTCCAGAAATTTGGGACTGTAAAGCCGGGAACTAATATCAAAAAGGTAAATAGGCAAAAAATTATTCTGTAGTTCCTGCCAACCAAGTAATCCTGTTTTTTATCAGCAAAACAATGTTTGCTACGCGTTTCTCGAGTTTGAAGATGCAAGCTCGGCACGATCAGCGATCCAGGTAGTTGCCCGTGACATTATTGCTGCATTGAATGTTTCCTAACAGTAATCGTTATTATTCAGGCCTCCGGCTCGTTTCAAATCAGCGGCAAGCCTGTCATGATCGAGGAGAAGAGGCCGCTTAGCGCTAGAGGTATTGTTTTATGGTTGATGGAGTCAATCCGTAACATGTTCCTTTCCTTGTCCTCTACCGTGCCAGGCTACCGAACAGGGGGGCGGGGAAGGGGAAATCGAAATGACGGGTCTCGAGGCAGGGGCTACTACAACCGTGGTGCTGCTGGTCCCGCTCCTCCTACCGCTGCTCCTGCCGGTGGTGGCGGCGGCGGCGGTGGCGGCAGCGGCAGCGGTGGCAACAGGAACTACGAGCAGGGAAACCGGGGCCGGGGCTCTCGCGGGGGATACAACAGCGCTAACAACAATCCAGGGGACGGTGGCCGAGATAGTGGTCGCTCCAACAGCGAAGAATATCATCCGCGGTACGAGAGCCAGGGCCACAACTACAACAATAACTACACCAACACCAACGCCACCAATGCTGCTACCAACAGTGGCAACTCGAGCGCCGGTCACCACCACCACCAAGCCAACAGCAGCAACACTGGCAGCAGCAACAACCACGGCTATCCAAACTCGAGGCCTCCTCGCCGGTACGTCAGCCGCGGCAACAACAACAACAGCAACAGTTCCAACAACAGCAACAACCCCAATTACAATCGAAGCTCCTCGTCCTCGGCTGGCGGCGCTCCTGCTGCTCCTCCCGCGGCGGTGACAGCTTGATTGAGGCGAGATCTCTGGGGAGTGGAAGCAACTCCCCGGTTTTCTCTGGTCTCTGTTCGTCCTTGATCGTCGCGTCGTCGTCGTCGTCATCGTCGCCTTCCTTCGGCTCTCTTGGTGGGATTGTATTCATTCGCAAAATTTTTGTCAGGCTTCTCCATACTACTACAGGCAAGCTCTCTTTCTCTCTTCCATGGTTTTTCTTCTTTCTTTTTTCCTTGATTTTTCCTGTGTGTAGAAAGGTGCGTAGTTTTAGTCTTGGTAGCTCTACTATCATCGAGTGATTGACCGGGTTTGTGTAACGGGCATTAATTTTGTCAAAAAAGTGACTTCTTCGAATAATCAGGCATATTCTTTTAGGGATATTCTGTGTTGTAAGGAATATTCTGCTTCCATCCCTCGTCGCCACACGGCTTGGGTAGGCCGTCTCGTTCCTTCGGTGCCCTGCCCTCGAAATTTCTTCCTCTAGGTCGGTTCCATCGGCGCCGATCAATTCAATCGGCTCGATCGCGTCCCCCGGGCGCCGAAGCAGCAGCAATGGGCGCGGGCTTTTCCAAGGAGGAGCAGCTGTATCAAGCCGTCCACAACGGGAACCATCAGCTTGTGAAATCTCTCCGGCGCGATGGAGCGTCTTTGGAGGTTCGTGTAGAGATTTTGCTTCTTCTTCGTCTTCTTCTCATCAGTGGGGTGATAGTTTCTGGACAAGGAGGGCAGGACCCCCTTGATTTTGGCCTGTGCTCGCCAAGATCTGTTTGACATGGTCGTCACTTTGCTCAATCTCGGGGCTAATATAAATGCCTATAGACCTGGTAAGTCAGCTCTCTCTTTCGTTCTAGACTATGTAGATAGTTTACTCTATCGCGTGGAATTTGTTCATCTAGGCTCGAATGGTGGATTTCCATTGCATCATGCCGCGAAAAGGGGGCTGGAGAGAACTGTGATTCTGCTCATATCCAGAGGAGGTCGGGAAGTTTTTTTCTTCTGAGTCACTACTACTGAAGACATTCTGTGCATGCAGCTGATCCTTTATGCATCAATGACGATGGACAAACTCCTTTGGATATGGCCAGACTACGGGGACATACTTCGATCGTCCGGATTATAGAGGCAAGCGAGCGAGCGAAAATTCTATTTATTTTGACGAGGAAACTTTTTCAGGATCGGATAGCTCTGTTTACTGGGATGATTCGTGAAGTTTCGGGGCCTGGCTTGCTGGAGGTCTTTGTACCGCAATGGGTGACCAAGAAAGTGTAAGTTTTGCTTGGCGCTTGCAACGTCATGGACTGCTTTGTGTTTTTAGGTGGGTTGCCGTTGTCCCAGTTCAAGCTAACCAGAGACATCCTCCAAGGCACGAGCTCGCTATTTATCAGTCTCCCAAGGTCTGGGTGTTTGCTTGCCCATTGTTCTTTTGATGTATATGAAGGATTTCTCTGGTAGGTTGCGGCGCCGAGAACCGTCATTTCACTCTGGAAGGCGGATCTGGAAGAGCCAAAGTGGAACACTGGAGCACCAGTTTTGATAGTCACAGAAAGAGCTACAAGTAAGCTTCTGGTTTGCTTTCTTTTCTCTAGCAGCAAGCTTGTTTTTCTGTAGAGATGAAATACAAGTTCCTGTCTGAAGCGGACGGTGACACCGCTCAACTGGAGAAACTGTACAGAGCATGCAGAGGAATACCTCCGGTGAGACATCATCCCAGTTTTTCTTTCTGTCCGTCTAGACTTCGCTGTTTTTTTTCTTGCCAGGTGGTTCCTGCAATGGGATACCCTGTTCCTCCACTTCCTGACAACCAGGACGACGTTGCACTGGCTATGGCATTAGATGCTTCTCTTCAGTCTGCTGGAGCGAATGGAGGATGGGGTGACCAACCCGGCAGTGAAAACTACAACGGATGGGGAGTTCAACAACAAAATCAACAACACCACCCCCAACAACAGCAACAGCAGCAACAGCAACAGCAACAGCAGCAGCAACAGAAGCAGCAGCAGCAACAACAACAACACCACCAACAAGAGCAGCAGCAGCAGCAGCCGGCCGGTTCAAAGAAGAATGACTGTGGAGGCTGGGCAGTCGATGGCAGCAGCAGCAGTACCAGCAGCTACAATGGTTGGGGAACTCCAGAGCCGGGGCAAAGCAGCTCAGAAGCTTCAGTGGCCACTCCCGCGGCACCGGAAGAACCTCCATCCGCTCCACCGCTGCCGGAGGACGACTTTGTTGTCGGTCCGATCCACTATCCTTCCATCGACACTTCTCCAGTGACTAATCCAGTTCCAGTTTCTAGCGTCGCAAAGGCCTCCACTGCCACTGCTGCCACGCCTGTGGCGGAAACGGAGAAAGCTGGTGGCCAGTGCGTGGTTTGCTGGGACGCTCCAGCACAGGGCGTGTGCATTCCGTGTGGCCATCTAGCGGGCTGCATGGGGTGCTTGCAGGAAATCAAGAACAAGAAGTGGGGGTGCCCGGTTTGTAGGAGTCCGATAGAACAGGTGGTGAAGGTATTCGCGGTATAGAAAATATTATGGTCAGAGATTTGTACAGGGGGTGACAGGATAAAACAGGGATGGGAGTGATGACAACGCAGAGGCTTGACTCCCACGAGGATCTCGAGTCGAGCTTCTGGATCGAATATATAAGCGCAGGCAGAAAAGGGGTTACTTAGAGTGTGGAAGTATGAAGGGAGCTTCTGCTCTGGTGGTTTTGGGAGTGGTGGCTTTTGTGGCTCTGGCTATGGTGGCTTCGTCTTCTCCACTGGGAGCGACTGAGGAAGGCTGTGGTGGCTACAAAGATCTCATCAACAAGTGCTACCAGATCGAGTTTGATGAGTGCTGCGCCAAGGCCAAGCAGGCGATGGCGGAGAAATGCGTGTGTAGTATCGATGGCGCCCGCGACGTGCTGCTCGAGGCGTGCGCGTTTGATCCAACAGATGCCAAGAGCTGTCCTGCTTTAGCAGCTTTTTAATTAATCTACGAAACATTGTTGTTGGTTTAAGTGAGCAGAGACTAATCCTTGCGTAAAAATCATAACAATAAATATTAAGAAACAGTGATAAATTTGAATAACCATTTACTATGAAGAACCTTAAGTTGATTTTTTATAACTTTTAACTTTTATGATAATAATATCTTAATATATGTTTATTACTACTAAATTTACAATTCTGTTGCCGGCATTAGTTATATCATGTTAGAATCATTTGCATTCAATTTATATATATTATTATTAATGTTTCTGTGTGTAATTTTTTAACATTAATTTGCTGGAAATTCTTCAACTCAAGCTTGGGAACAAAATTTTTTGCCGAATGAAATAATTTTATCTTTAATTTTAAAATATACTTGAGTAAGTTTTTCTATTATAGTAAAAAAGAAAATAATCTTTCTTATAAGAAATTTTAAGGATTTTTAACTAAATAATTATCCTAAAAAATTATATAAATTACATATAATCATATTTTTATTTAATTGTAGCTA